GGTGATCCGGTGGCATTTCTAGTTCAATACAGAAGACCAACAACCGAGCTCTAACCGGACAAAAATTTGCTTTACGCTTTACAGTTACGTCTTACCACTAGTAAAGCATAAAGCAGACCGTCATGACACCGTAAGGAAATGACCGTAATTTTAATGCGTTACACGGGGTCAACCGTAACTACGGCGTAATTACGACAGTAATTACGGCGACCGTAATCAGACCGTAATGTAAACCCAAAAGCCCTAAGTAGGATACAAGCTCCTGAGACCCTTAGACTTTGTCCCAATTACATTGAAAACTCCAGCTGACTGACATTCTACAGTGCTTGATATCAGTGGAGCTTATATCAGCTGATTACACTGTCCATCATAAATCTTGACACTTTTGTCTTCATGGATACATGACGTACTGCAGCGGCCTGTGTTTCTAACCAAACGTGTTCCCTGTGACATTCACACAGTTTTTGCATCAACATAATGCTGGGCATATTTTACGTTCATTTTGATATCATCTGAAGCTCCCGGTACAGCATAGATGGCGCCTGGCCGGCGTTAGAAAAGTCAAGCCGGTTATATGCGGTTAGTCACAAGGCTCGAGTTACCCTGATTTCGCAACTAGCACGCATATAACAGTTCTGCCTTAACCTTCGGGTTATGTCAGTCAGGATATCCTATGCAACTCAGTCAACATGGAATCGAGACCTATCCGTACGTCTCCAAGTTCTCCGGGCCCGGAGTCCCGGTGCGTTGGAAAGCCGCCACGTGTTAAAATGCTTTCGAATCGGACTTGGATTCCCGACTCCCGAGGACGGCTGGATGTGGTGGTCGCACAACTTCGACATTCAGATACCTACCCGGTATTCTGATATTTCTCAAATATCACAACTCTGACTAACATGCCTGGGCATCGCAGAGTTGCCTCGTGCATGTTGAACGGTGCTCATTGAGCACCTTCGAACCTATTCAACTGCATTTGACCGGCTATGATTTGTTCACGCGCCAGGCGCTACCCATGCTGGAGCGGACTGAGTTTCATCGTCTAAATGCAATCAATCAGAATGATGATGCAATTCCTTGAAAATATATCACGTCATTTGTACATCAGATCAATGACGCGAGATGAAAATGAGCAAAACAGATGCAACAAGCCATTCTGCCTGTTTCTCTTACTGCAACTTCGTACTGACTCAAATGTCTAGTAATGGGCAGTTCCACAACCCGGAATCATTCTCTAATGCTGCTTACATGCAGGGCCAGCTCATATATCCCCTCACAATGTCATGCAGCATTTCATACAGTGTCGTGGCTGCGGGGTGGCTGCTCTACAATGCTAGACCCGAAAAATAATGGTTACGAGCAAGAATGAACAATCTGAGGACACCACGCTCATGAGCTGGAGACATGGGACTCCTATACCTAGCGATGGTCGCCGGAGCGCGGGTGCCAAACCGCACGGCGGCCCCTGGGAGGCGGCGACGACCGTTACTTACGAGGAATTGACAAACTTTTAACCCGCACGCGGCCTGACCCTTTGTGCGTTTGCGAGGGATCGAAGCCAGGCCCCTCGCAATCATTGACGTCATCATTTCATCACCAAGTGAAGGAGAAATCCCCACGCCTCAGCCGCTAGACCAAGCGTAGGATGACTAACAATATGGTTACGAGCATATTAAGCATTGGATGCCAGTGGGTGGGCGTGCATTGTGATTATTGCCTGATTCAAGGGCATGCCTGTGACTGGCCCCATGTGACTTCTTTCCGTTGTATCATGTGCCCACCAAATTCAGCACAATCCCAGCCGACCCAATCTTGCACTGTGCTAGTTAGGACTACAAACATATCAAGGTCGACGAAGCTTTTAAACGTGGTCATGGACATCACACACATGACAGTTGGAAGCCTGTTCGAAACCCTGTGTGGCCTGAGGTCCTGCCAAGTATTAAGGGGTAGAGACGGGCCGTAGGTTCATTGGTGGTAGACACATTTATAGCTGGCCCAAACGATCAAAGGTGCGTTGTTACTTGTTGCAACTGACGCGATTTAAAGTACGAGTGTCGTCCTGGAGCCGCAGACTCATATCGCCTGTTCTTGCGCGCACTCGTCGATTCGGATTCGTCCTCATCGTCGTTCTCCCTGTAATGACACTTTGGCTTTTAGCTGAGAAGCACGCTTTCTTTGTGCACTCTCTAGTGGATTGAAATTACTTTCTGGATGAGAACTAAGCCAAAGCCTGCAGAACCAAGTTCCGCTTGCAGACGAGCGGACTGTCAAGCAAATCCCCCATACATATGCACGCAATCGTCTCTCAAAATATTCGAGCAGTAGACATCAAACGCCATCGGTCAGCGATGTCAAAGTTTGTTCTACTGCGGATACGTACACTTGACTAACAGACCGTCGCTCTTAGGTTCGCAGGAACTAGTGACGTCAGCAGATGTCAGGCAATAAGGACGCGTATCCGGTTGCTGACCCTCTCTGATTGCGACCGGCTATCCTTAGCAAGCTCACGTCAAACATGACAACTGGCTGGATTTCTAAAAGACTTGCACAAACGCTCCTTTGGAGGGGGAGGAAAAGAGAGCTCAACACAAGCTTAACAAGGATTAACTACAATCTCGGCCGGCTGAGCCATCAAACACCTTTTTGCCCGTTGACCACCGCAACAGCGACTAAAGCCGGCACAATTCTCCTGATTCCTGACTGCCCTGACCCAATGCTTTGTCACTACTGCAACCCCGTACTGGGAGCGAAGAGCCTAAAGGCCTTACAGTTGGATGTCAGGTGCCTTTCTCCAGAACGTCAGGTGCTCATCTCAAGAACGCACCTGGCAAACCGCCCGGTCCAGAGTAACAAAGACGACGAGGAACGGAAACACGGGAACATTTAAGAAAGTGAGCGATTACCGAAGGTCGCGCGACGGTTCAACGTTCAGGTTGGCCAAAGGAAAGAGCTGTCAGAGAAGGTTGTCACCAGAATAAAGAGCACATAGAAAGCAGAGGGAAAACAAACAGAAGAAAAACCGGAATGGAGTACTCACCATTGAACGTCCACACAAAGCTTGGCCACCAACGGTTTGCACGTGCCCCAGCTGAAGCGCACCAACGACGGGAAGCCAAACACGGGGTCCACGTTCGCCGCCAACCACGTCTTTGTCTCGGGGTCTGTAACCAGAAAATAAACCGGCTCGTTAGTGCTTCTTTGCGATTCGTAACCCAAGAAGATAACCCGGCTCGTTAGTGCTTCGTTCAGAGCATCGTGTTGGACTAATATGATCGAGCGTCTGCGGAAGACAAAGCTTTGCGGTTTCTCATACCAACAACGTAGTTCAAGAACCTCCAAAGGCGTCTTTGTCTCGGGGTCTGCAAACGAGGGAGGTAACGGCCCTTATCTCAACCTTGGAAAGCATGAAGCTTACTCAAGATGCACAAACCTTTGGTAAGTCGTTGAACACAGTTTGTCGATTGTCCACGACGTAATGGATATTGACGGACAGACGGCGAAGATAAGATATCGAAGACGGATCTTGAATACAAGGACTTCTCACCTGCCGGGTAGCCAGACCCAAACTGGCGCCCGTACTCGACACCTCTCTCTTCGAACACCCAGGCCCTCAACGCGCGATCTCTTGTTACCTAGAAGGAAGAGAGTATATTTTGCTTGAGCAGGAACTGCAAATACCCGTCGAGAGTCTGCTTCTCTGCGAGTATGGGCGAGGAACGCTCTTGGGAGAGGCCACCCCGAAGGAACAACGAGACTGCACACGTTATCCTTTTGGTGTTCAACCCGCTTGGCCGTTTGTTGAACAGCGGAGAAAAGAGGGATGGAGAGTGCGCTTACTGAGCCTAGCTAAGTAGCGGAGGCAGTTTATCCCCAGCTTCTATGCACACGTGCTCGATCTGAGTTTCTCCCGTTGGCTGGGTAGCAAGATCAAGACCGCTTTGCAATTGCATCTATGCGCTGTTCTTACGCGCAGGTCGAATAGAAAGTTGGACATTGAATGAACCTTTAAACCATCAGAACATGCCTCCGGACTGCTTCGACCGATCAAGAAAGTTTCGTACCTTTGCGACAATGCTGGCTGCACTGACAATTGGAAACAGGCTGTCGGCCTTCTTGCGCACGGTCATTCTGACCCCGGGAAATTTCTCGCTCAGTCGTTGCTCGTACTTCTCAGGATCGCCAACAGTATCGACGTAGACCTGGAGGAACGAAATAGGAGAGTCAATTTCACCTATGTACGTGGCTGATCGTTCAGAGAGTACAGACTTCGTCTCGCAACACCACTAGTAGGACTGGAAGCCCCAACTTTGATGAATAAAAGCGGCCCTACAATGGATTTTGAGTCGAGGGGCAAGATGAAGCAGAGAAAGCGGTTGCCAGCTGAACCGTTAGCCAAAAGTTGCTCCATCAGACCTGTATTGAGGAGACTGCCATGATCTGACGGGTCTTGTTCGCTGAGTATCGCGAAGAACCAGTCGTGTCTCAAGTCAACACGTACCTCAACCAGATTGACGCCTTTGTCGAGTGCCCCCCGGATTAATCCCATTGCTGAGTCGTGCGAGATGGCATTCAGACTTTTCTTCTCACTGCAAGAAAGGTTTTGAAAGGTTGAAAAGTGTCACGTTGAAGTATAACATCAAAGAAACCTGGTTGCTAACGAGGGATGTACCTGACCTGCCCGAAGCTCAGCCGTAAACCTTCAGAAAGAACCACAGCATTGGGGCAGCATGTGAGCTGCCTACTCCTAGCCCTTCTGTGTGCCTTTGAAAAGGTGGTGAGATCTCACCTTCGCAACATCTGAGATGACAGATCCTTTGCATGAATTACATCGGCTGCCCAGCCAATGGAGGTATCCTCCTTTAGCGCCTCAAAAAGAGTTTCTCGCTTTTCTTCTGTCAATGTTTTGGAATCTGGTAGAAAGATGAGGAACGCCACATCAGATTGATAAGCTTAATCAATATCTGGGGGGATATGCAATTTCCAAGATCCACATTTAAAGCCAAGCAAGGCCCAGCATTGTTAGAAACTTTGCAAGTATGGTTCCTCCAAAACCATCGTGACATTCAGCATGCTTAGTACAACAAAACCAGGATCAAAACCAGGATTGAAAGCCAGGATTTAAAACAGAATTAAGTGCTGAAGGCCAAGTCTCAGTAACGGAATTTTTCTGCAAAAGTTTATGCAAGTCAGCCAGCAATCTGGGGTACTGACCTGCGAACTCCATGCCAGCTATCCTCGCTTTCTGTGACAAGGCACAAAACGCACACCCGTAAACCATCGGTCCTGCAGAAAGGCATTTTGTTTTGTCAGCTCATTGAAAAGTAAGGTGTTCCCTAGAACGAATATGTCTGCACCTCTGCCCTCCTGGGATAAGTACAAGGATGACATTCTGCTTTCACACTTTGACTTGTGAGAATTTGAACGGAAGCAACTCTGGTGAATTCCTCTGTGGCTCCTCATGAGCCCCAATCTGGCTTGGAAATTATCACTCTTTCTAATGATGTTTTCAAAGGAACGCACCCAAGATACATCAAGCCCAAGGGAGACACACTTTTGCAACCCAAAGCTGTGCAAAAGTGTGATTTAAACATATGAGACGGCTTCCAAATTATTGCACAGAGCTACTTGACACAACTTAAGCAGCTTGCTTGACACAACACATGAATATCTGTCTGCTCAGGCGAATCTGGTCATCTCCAACCTCATGACAGACTTGGCCTCGAGGTTGCCACAATTGATGAATTGAGCACAGAGCCCCACCTAGTACTGGCCCTCTTCCTGCCTCATCGATGCCAAGAATACATGGCTCATTGAACCACGCAGGTTCTTCTCCTGTCCGTCCTTCCATTATAACCCCGGAGTAGACTTGTACAATGTAAACCTTGCTCGATGTGCAAGTGGCGGTACAAGAAGCCGCCCTGAATGACTTGTGCACGACGCGTCGGCTGCTAAAAGAGTAAAGTGCACCGGCCAACTTTGGATTGGTCGTACCACCGTCAGGTCTGAGCAGGTCTGAGCTGTCGCTCTTTTTAGCTTTAAGATTGATTGTCCAGGTATCTGCTCCGACTCTAAAGTAAAGTTGGCGGGACACTTGACATTAGCGTCCGTCAGTATGTGTGCAGCCAGAGGGTGTTCACATTAACTTGCCGTTGCCCACTTCTGGTCAAACGGCTGCAATGGTTTCCGTTGAATCTCAATCTGGCGAAGGGATCTGCCTGCCCAGTTGCTAGTCAAAGTCTGAGAGCGTAAAAGGTCTCAACGTCAACAAGAATGACAGCAGATGCCTCAAAATTTTCAGAGGTACGAGGGACAGAACGAACACATGAAATTGGGTCCCCCAAAGACGAAAAAGGACGGTGCAACTTGCAGGTCTCTACATTCTAGGTTTCAGTGCAGCTTTTGATAGCCACCGCATGTGCTCCAAACTGGAATTGGACGATCACTTTTCTTTGCTGCTGCATCCAAAAACTTTGAAAGCAAACCTCAACTGGCAGTGGCAGTGGCAACTTCAGAGTTTGAACCAAATGGCGGGCTTTGCTAGAACAGGGTTTGGTCCCTACCCTCAAAGGGTTAGGTATTTGGGTTTGTTTTGATAAGAATTTGACATAATGTTAGCAATTTTTTTAACCAGGATCTAGTTACCTTTTAACCGGGGCCGGCTAGGCCACAGGGTCATTCCGCTTCAGACTCGCATTTGGTACCGCACTCATTAACTGATTTGTTTAACCCGTCTTGCAAATGCGTAATCTGCGGCACCCAAGGGCTCCTGTAAACCGCCGGCGCTAGCTCACAATGAACAAGCACAAATAAGATCGATCAACACGGCGACGAGTGAGCAGGAACATGACTTTCGTGGTCGCTCGCACTTCCGAGTTCGGGGCGACCGCGTAGCCCCGCTTCCGAACGCCTGAAACTTGTAAGTTGAACTGCCTCCTTCCAAGCCCTCGTTTTCATCTGAACACCACCTTCCGATCATATCAAGACAGCGCTAGCTAGCTTTATCATTTATGGTGTCGACTGTTGTGATGTGGCCATGAATGGCCACCGCCGTCCGTCAGCAGCGTAAGGACGTCCTTAGCACTCCAGCGGCTCAGCGGGCAGCGTTTCTGTGGAGAGCCGCGAATGCGCTGCTGCCAACTGCGCTGCCTGTGGCAAACAATCTGAGGCAAGCCAAAATGTTGACTGCATTGCAACGTTACGAGCCCTTTTTCACAACTTTCGTTTGTCTTGCATTTCCTGGCATTGCGTGTTTCTTGAGCTTTTGGAGGGCTACACTACGGTATCTCTACAAGCAAGCTTCGTGCATGGCATCTGCGTCTTTGCTGTGCATGATGGTGCGCCTCCACAATAATCGTGCTATCTAATGTAAAGGGTCTCATATTGAGTGAAGCTTTTGCCGAAGTAAGTTGAGCTTGTGCCCTTGTCCAACAATTGAAAGTCTCTCATTTATGAAGAGCAACCCCATGGATCTGGCTTCTTTCTGAAGCACATGGCTCTTAACTCTTGAGATGAAAAGCCTTTGCCCACTGGGTTCTACAGCGCCTAGATTTTATACATCTTTCCTCATCTTCTCTTGAACGCTTATGAGCTTTTGCCACACCAGACGGTTGCTTGCAGGAAGACTTTTGACAATGCAGGTTTTCTCCATGAAGTCAAGGCACAAATTGAGCGATGCAGTATTGTTATCAGCGAGAGAACCATCCTGTGAAACAAGAACTTGGTTGGAAAGAGTTTTCCGATGTCATCTATCATTACCACCATTTGAATTTTTGTGAGGACACCTGCTGAGACATAACTCATTTTCTAAGGTTTTGTTTCCATACCCAACTGCCAGTTCAACAAGGTTTGTTTCTTAGAAAACCCATCAAGATGCCAAGGCATATGTCTTGACTTTAATATATTTGGTGTGCTATGCACAGATTATATTGTATGCTGAAAGGAGAATTGAAATCTTCTTCTGAACTTTTCATGAAAAGCTGAGACGTTAATGTACAGATTTACAGAGCTCTGCAATGAAGGCAAGAGCCTCCTGTATGCACGAGTGAATCACGCCTTACCGCATTTGGAATCTGAACTTTCTCAATGCCGGTTTTGTACAGCATTGGGGAAGCTGTTGCGACATTGCACATTTAATATCTCTTTCCGAAGCATGCTCAGTCCAACTGCCCTTTGCACTGTGTCTAATGGCCAATCAACCTGTCTTCTGCAGCGTTCAGCTCCGTCAACTTTGTGAAGCTCAGTCGGCCCCGCTCCCCAAGGGCGCCGACCAGCTCTCCTGTGCCCGTTGCGAAACTGCCCTGCTCCCGGGGGTAAACTGCAGAGTCCTCAGTGGCCGTCAAAAAAAGCATCCCGGCAGCCGGGCTGTCCTGTACCAGTGCTCGGTCTGCACGCACTCCGGCGCTTTCCCGGGCGCGAGCAGAGCCGCGGAAAGGAGCGCAAAAGCGGAGGAGGCGGCCCGAGAGCAGATCGAGCGCTTGGCGTCCGAAAGCGGTCCGAAAGCGGGCGTGGTTCCGGAGGGCGGGGCAAAGAGGAAACGGGCCAGGGGGAAAGTGCAAAGTCTGAGGGCGTTGGCTCAGAAAGCAGCGAAGCGGCCAGAGGAGCGGGCGGGGTTGGTTTTGGCGTCTGGGTCCGAGCCTAAACCTTCGGTTAAGCTTGTATCGGTGACTGCGGCTGAGGCTGAAGCTTCGGGTAATCTGGTGTTAGCACAGAGCTTGAACCCTCTGCAGGAATCACTCTTGGGCGAAGTCTCCACTGTGGTGACATCAGCGGTGACATCAGGGACGGTGGACGCTATCATGACAGCTGGAGCGGGGCTTAGCAAGAACGACGACCGCAGCTCAGAGGGGGGGAAGATGCTGAGTGGAACGGAACCCCTCCCGGCGCTTGAGTCTGCCGAAGCACCCCTCTTGAAAGTAGCCCCCGAAGGTGAACCCAAGACGGCCGATGTTTCATTTGAAGATCGACAACCTGCGCTGTATTCCTCTCTGGGTGAAGCGGCCGCAGCGCAGAATTGCACCGAGACGCCCCCGCTCGAAGTCCCCCTGCCCGAGAAACCCACCCCCCTAGTTCCTGCAGAAACCGCAAAGCCTGACACAAAGCCTGGGGTGTTTTTTCCTGCCGAAAAGGCCACACCGCAGCGGACAAAGCGTCCTGCCTCTCGGAGTGGGGGGCGGTCGGTTCTGGGGGCCTCCATGGCTGCGAAAGCTGGTCAGGGGGGGAAGGCAGCCCCCAGTTCTGCGAACCAGGGGGGCGATGACGAAGAGTCGCCGTACTCGAAAGTGGCCTCGCAAAGGGAGGTTGCAGAGGAGACTGCGCAACAGGGGGGAGGGATTGGCGAGCAACTTCAGAGTGGGGAAGAGGCAACTGCAGAACAAAATGCAGCTGGATTGCAAGAGACATCTGCCGGTATCCAGAGCAACAGGGGGGCCGAAAAGGGGGTGAATGAAGGGGCTTCGCAGGCAGCGGCAAAGGAGGAGAGAGGTGGCAGGGAAGATGTCCCAACTAGCGAGGCTCTGCTCAAGCCCCCTGTCGCCCACCCTTCTGAAACCCCTGCTGATGAGCCCACAACCCAAAACGTTCCCCCTCCCAGCGAACCAGAGAGCAGCATCGACACTTCACTGCGCCGGTCCGCGCGCAAGCGGGGGGCGCCGAACGGCTCCGGAGCAGCCCCCCAGAAGGACGACACGGCGACCTCGTCCAAGGGGGCGGAGACGCCCAGTAGACGGTCACTTCGAAACGGGGGGGCTGCTTTGGCAGAGGCGACGACCCCCCTGAGGAGGTCCACACGGAGAGCGGGGTCTGTGGAGCCGGATGCGAAGAAAGCTGTGGCAACGCCGGGCAGGCGGTCAGGTCGGACTGGGGGGGTCGGCGAGGCTGGTGCGGAGCCCCCTGTTCCAAAACCAACTCGGCGGGTGGGCAGCAGAGGTGTCTCTACTGAGCCCGAGGATGCCCCCCAGACGAGTGCAGCAGGGCGGGAAGAACTAGCGGCGGCTGAAAGAGGGACTGATGACAAGGAACAGGAAGGGGACGGAAAAGTGGAATCTGCCCTTGGAACGATAGCGGAGCTTCTGGAAGCGCCTTTGTCGACCTTTGACGCTTCCGAGGGGGTGGCGAGCGCCCTGGAAGTTTCCACCCAGGAGACGTTTGTGACTGCGACGCAGGAGAGCGTCCCCGGGGGAGAGTCTCAGTCGCAGACAAACACCCCGTTGGAGGAAACGGAGACACAGCCTGTGCTGACGCAGGAAACAGATCCTGAAATGGAGGAGCTGACCCCCCCAGAACGAGAAGTGGGTCCGAGCGAGCAGGAAACAAGTCATACGGAGCCGGAAAGTGTGCCGATTTTGGCAGAGGAAGACATTCGGGGGGGGCCATTGGAAGGTGGGGTGTTTCCGAATACGGCGCTTGCTGAAGAAAGGACCGGAAGGGGAGCGGCGGAAGGAGGACTCGAGAAGGAGGAAGGAACGAAGGAAGACGAAGAGATGGCGGATGCAGATGTGCACGAACGAGAAGGAAAGGACGAAGGGGGAGAAAAGAGGGAAATGGAAGCCGTCGATTTGGGGGGGGCTTTGAGGACTGCGGAACAGGTCGCAGAGGAGATAACGGTGGGGGAGATCGAAATGGGGGGCGGCGAACAAACGGCAGCAGAGAAGAGGGACAGCCTGCTGGAGCATGACGTGGAAGTGCCAGCTACGAAGCGCCGGAGGGGATCCCCCGAGGCGGACGATTCAACCGCCCCCACAGAAGCGGGCGTTTCTGTGGCCGAGCAAGAGCCGGGTCTCACCCAAACGATTGAGAATATGTTCACCGCTGTGGGGGGTTCTCCGGGCATCGAAACGGGGGGATTCTTTGCCACTGATTTTGGACCCCCTGCCGCAGCTGACGAGGTTCCAGTGGGGCAGAACGGGCGTGAGACAGCGGACGGGGCGGGGGCCATCTCTAGGCTGGCCTCCGCAGAGTCGGCTGACGTCATGATGGCCTCTGCTGACGTCGAAACGCCCTCTGCTGACGTCGGAACGGCCGCTGCTGCCGTCAGACCGGCCTCCGCCCGTCTCCCGCCGCAGGCGATCGTCATCGAGGACGCCCTCGCGCTCGCTGACGGGCTGCTGACGTCACCGACGCTCGGCCTCGGGATCGAGGGCCACTTTCCGCCGACGCCGACGCCGGAGGGGCCGTGGAAAACTGCCGCAGCTGCAGGTGAACCTTTTGGCCAATCGCATCCGTCAGATTTGCAGACCAACTGTCAGCTTGGAACGCTTTATCGTGGTGGCCTTAGTAAGCGTGCTAACTGCAGTTACTGGTGACAAGACTGACAACTTTTAAACCTTGTAAGCTTAGTTTCAAATTGGAACCTTAACCAGGTTTGGTCAAGGGAATGTGGCACAAATTTTGATATCGGCAGCCGACAGTACCGTATGAAAATGTCGTCTACGTCTTTGTCCATGTCAGTCAACGCAATACAGATCTGCTTATACAGTAGTGCTTTCTAAGACGAAGCTACTGGTATGTGTTTGCGCCTCATGCTGCAGTGTTCGTTGACACGAGAAAGTGCAACTGGGAGCAAAGAGAACTTAAGTTTGAAGAGAAGCAATGGGCATCTCTGCAGGTTGACGGAAAGGCGGTACAAGGTTCGCATGGAATCGACTAGGAGCAATCCTAGGCCTGACGATATAAGGATAGTCCAGGCTTTTCCGCAACAGTATTTGGACACATTCTAGAATCCGTTCTGGACAGAATGGACAATAATCCGGTCTTGCCTCCGCCTGAAAACAAGACACCTTCGATTCTTCCACAGGTGATGTCATCGACACCCACGAACGCGTCGACGCTGACGTCAGCTTCGAGCCGGGCACTCAGCCTCTCGAGCAGGAGCACGAGGGCGGCGACACGGACCTGGAAGACGCTGACGTCATCCCGGATCGGGAGCGCGGCGCCCCATCACACACGCGCCG